GTGTATCATTATCCATAAAATATTGAGGGTAGTTACTCTTGCTGGAACTGTTTCTAATCAATTTATTTAATATATTCCACTTACCTCTCATGTTATTTTTATTATCCTCTAATACTTTAGAGTAATATAGTTTCTTACATCTCCTCAAAATCTCAATTAATTTGTTCTTATATGACTTATATTTTTCTTCCGCCTTCTTTGATCTGTCCTTTATGAGTCCCTTATATAACGCATTCTTCTTTTTACATGCATTCTGTAATCCCTTACTCATCCACGGTTTCCCACTGTAATTCCTTTTGTTTTTATACTGCTTACAAGGACAGTTCCTGTCATATACTTTCTTAAATATATTTAAAAATTGCTCATATGCTTTATCTAAGTCTTCCTCTCTGTAAACTAATTCCCAGTTTTGCCCCATAAAATCCTCTTTTAGCCTCCTTACAGCATGTTCATTCGTCACCCTCCTATAGAAAAAATTTGTTTTTGGCCTCTCTTTTCTACCCATGACTATGATGTGCCAACTATGGCAAAGAAGTGATGTGAAAACACAAAGTTTTTTTTTTTGTTTTTTTTTTATTCCCATGACCTTCTCATATTTGTAGGGCTTCCTGCCTGAGACCTTTTTCCACCGACTGCTGACCGAGCGCTCGGACATCCCTAAAAAGAGCAGACACCACCACCACCACCGCCGCCACACTCCAGAGCCCACCCCTGAAGACCCCAACCTGGATGGAGTTGAAGAGGAGACTCTGGTCTCAGATGGAGCCTACATGATGGACGAGGAGGACCTGGAGACCTCCCATCACTTCATCACTAGTCCAGACTTTGATGTTAAAATGGAGGGCGGCGACAGCCTGTCCCAAGGTGACTATGACAGCTCAGATCAGGAGGCGCTATTGGACGATGTCACCATAGCACAGAAGGACTCTGACTCCTCATCAAGCTCAGAGGATTGACTGAACCTCACTCGCTGAACACATCAGGCTTGGTCCCCTTCTCAACAATGAATCATATTATTCCTCATTAATTTTTACCATATTATGTATCAAATTATGGATGAACTTGTGTCTGTTTGTTCCTACTTTTATTCATTTATTTTGTATAGGGATTTTGTTTCTTCATGGAAGGAGCAGCTTTGCAACCATTTATCTATTTCATCATTGAGAGTTGTGTTCACTCTTTCTCTTTTCAACCCTCCTCTCTAACCTGTGACAAAATGGCAAAAATATGAGCTTTCTTACTTTATCACTCGTCATTCTCCTCTTCATCCAAATCTATGAATTCCCAGCACATTCCCAGCCGTGACCAAAAGGGGGCCCTGCTGTACAGATACCCTTTTCTTATCTAAGAACCTCAATGCTGGTCCTGTAGCGCTACATGAAACTGGACGTGTACTGAGTAGAGCCTGGATCCAGATCCCACAATCCCCTTCTCTCGTTGGGTCATATTGTCAGTATCCAGACGAGTCTGTGAACTCAAAGGGGATCCAGTTTGTGGATGTACTGTTATTATTTTCACTCTGTGGGAGGGATGGGGTTGACAGGGAACATGGCATAATAGTTACTGAAGCAGTGCTAGGAGGATGGGTGTATTGTACAATGTAGAGCTGGTCAGTTGTGTACCATGGTGCAAAAATAATGGCAATGAGTTATTCTTGTTTTATGATCTGACTGTATCTGTGATATGAATAACAGCAATCTACGGTGAAAGCAAGTTTGTGTGTGTTATTCTGAGTTTGACCAAAAACAAAGAAGGTTTACTGTTTATACACAAGATAATTAAGTTGTGTCCAAATTACAGTAGATGATCATGTACTGTATATTGTTTAGTAGTTTACATAGTCCCATTTTTTTATGAACTATAAATTACTCATGACAGTAGTGTCCACATACATGAACCCTGCAGTACTAGACTGAAACAGTACTACATCCAGTTATTTACCAGCAAGAGTTCCACTATGGATTTCATCACTTTCTTTTTTTAAGTCAATCTTTGGGTTTATGGTAGCTGATATGTTTATAAAATTATTAGGCACTATTGAAAACTGAATACACATTTTGCTACTACTATATAATACTGAATAGTAAATGTGCTAAAATGGTGCACACAATATGCAGTTTCCCATACACTGACTAATGTTGGTAGGCCATCACAATATCAACATGGACTGCCACATATTGATATTAAATACACAGGCTAAATCTTATTTCGATGTAGGGCCATGCGTAGCGTGTGTATTTGCTCAGTCCCTCTGTACCCCACTCTGTTTCTCTCTCATACAAACGTATAATTTCCTAACGTGTCAATAGCAAGCTAGGTAGAAAGTAACTAAGTACATTTACTCAAGTACAATTTTAAGATGTCTGTACTTTTTACTGTATATTTACTTTGTTACTTCATACTTTGAATTCATTACATTTTAGAGGCAAATATTGCACTTTTTACCCCACTACATTTATAACTTTTGTTACTTTTCAGATCCAGAATAATACAAATATACACTATCAATATAAGACCTCATTGATCTATGGTTGAAAATTCAAACGCTACCCATCAGTAATTCAAATTAAGCATATAAACTAGTTAAAACTATCTCCCCCTTCACCAGCTGAAACATTAAATGTAATATATAATGTATCAGTAATTATATGACAATATGATAAACAGGAACGTGAAATGTGCCATTCTGCATAATAAGTACTTTTAGTACTTTAAATATGTTTTTCTGCTTTTGTGCTTTTACTTAAGTAACATTTTGAATGGAAGACTTTTACTTGTAATAGTATTTTTACACTGTTGTATTGCTACCTTTACTTAAGTAAAGGATCTGAGTACTTCTTCCACCACTGCATATGGACTGTTCTACAAGTGGACAAAGTTAATGCTAGTTCATAAACTCTGATGCTTGAATGTTTGGCCCCTCAGTCCAGAGGAATATCAAAAAACACCCATGGGAAAGCTAATTAGTCCAGTCAGTGTAATTAGTGATTCAACTGATTAATTTCAAATATTTATTGGCACTGCTGAAACAGCAAGAGAGGATCAGGAGGAGATGGCTGAAGAAAGATACTGTATGTACAGTATGTTAGGAGAGGAGGAGGACAGCAGCCAATATGCTGCTGCTGCTGTGGGAGAGCCAGCTAGTGCAGGAGGGATAGGTCATATAAACAGCACAAAAGTAGCCTACTATAGTATTACTATATTTAATATTTAAAAAAATGAAAGCATGGCATCACTGACCGAATTACTGACACCCTCAACTTAATATTTTTCTTTGCTTGTTTGCTCTAATTTGTCAGAAAAATAACTATCCCCTGGCTGCTGTTTCGTTTAATACTTAAAATGTATGTGGGAAAGTGCATTTGACACTAAAACGTGCTGTTTCAATTGGCCAAACAAAAGGTTAAACAAACATAAAACGTTTGTGAAAAGCAGTTTAACCTTGTTGCTAAGAAAGCTTCCTTTCCATCTTAACTCACACTGGCAAATGCTCTTGTTTTTCCGACAGTCCATGAACGTAACACTAGCCATACTGGGAGAGGGTGCTACATTGACTCCACCACATGAATGGCTTTTTGTTGGGCCTCCACTAAACTTTGCGGCCCGGGAGAGCTAGTAGGTAGTATTTTGGTAACACTAAGATTACTTGGCCGTTTGCAGGAAGGATAGGTGTCAGAACACCCCGCTGTCCCGCTCTTCTTGGGGCTTCAGAGATTAAGTATTTTAGCATAGTCTCCTCGACCTTAACGTTATGCTAACCGGGAGTGATACGCTAACGCTAGCTAGCTAGCTTGCTAGCAGCTTTAGTTCATGTTGAGAGGTTAGTTGAGGAGTAGGAATTTAAGAAATGTCAATTTTCAGTAAACATACAACGTATGTGAAAGTTTAGAGTAAACAATTTCAAAATGGACCTTAATTTTTACTCTGACCTATCGGATGGTTGTGCTCAAAATGTTGATTCTGAGTTTTTGGACACCCAAGCATATGGTGAATACTCGGAGGAAAACAAGGTAACCTGAGATTAACATTAACTACTATTTACCTGGAAAGCTTTGACTATTGTACATGATTTAGTTAATGCTAATGGGCCGTTTCAGTTTGCAGAAGGTAACGACAGTTACCTCACCATCAGTGGAGCGGGCCACCCCTTTCTGTCCGCTGAGGTGAGTTCATTCATGCAATATGGTGACTAGTGCTGTGTAATAAAGAGTCACTGCACTGAGCTTCACATTACTGACTGATCCATTATTGTTTGTTTTTCCCCACATATAGCAGACGTTCCATACCCCCAGTCTAGGGGATGAAGTTTTTGAGATTCCCCCCATCTCCCTTGATCCAGACTCAGCTCTGAGCATCACTGATGCAGTGTCTCACTTTGAGTTGACAGATGGGTCAGATGGCACCGGGGGACCTTCGGGCTCCCGTAGCCTTGTTAGCAACCTGGTGGCCGAGGCCAACGACCCTTCCTTCGCTTCCACCTTTGTGAACTCTGGGTCTCAAGGCCTGGAGCATCTGAACCTCAGGGCAATGGGGCAAACTGGTGGGGGAGCCCTGCTGAGCTCGTCTGCCTTGGTCAGTGGACCTGTGGATCTTGTCACTCTGACAGAACACCGTTTGCTGTGTTTAAATGTTAATTGTTCATGAATGCAGTTGATTGTTGTTTGATTTGTTTGTAACATTTTGTTTTTCTGATCCCTCTGCAGGAACTGGGGAGTTCCAGTGGTTCACATTTCAGCAGTTCGTCCCCCATGACCATTGATGTTCAACTTGGTGACATTGGCCATGGTCTTTTGGGAAGCAGTCAGCTGACTACTATTAATCAGTCAGAGCTGGCCTTGGGTCTTGAGGGTGAAAACATTAGGCATCATTCAGAGACACCTGAGCAGCCACTGTCAGCAACACCATCTCCAGTTGGTTCCTTGCAGGATGAGGACATGGATGACTTCAAGGTGAGAGGTTGGACATGTAGATGCTAAGTTAACTGTTTGCTTTCATCCATTACAGCCTGTGTTGCATAGCTGTGTTTTAGTTTCTGTGGCTAAAATGTGCTCTCCTCTCTCTCTCTCTCTCTCTCTCTCTCCCACTTCACCTGTCCTTACTCAGAGGAGTGTGCTGGTAGACTCCCCCATGCCTCTCTCCTCATCCTCTGTCCTCTCCCACATAGCTCCCACATCTTCTGTCTCCCCGGCTACAACCAGGAGGGGTGGGGGAAAGCCAGCCACACTGGCCTCAGTGACTGGGACGGTGGGTGCAAAGAAAGGAAGGAAGAAGAAAGACCCCAATGAGCCACAGAAGCCAGTTTCAGCATATGCCCTATTCTTCAGAGACACCCAGGCAGCCATTAAGGGCCAGAACCCCAATGCCTCTTTTGGAGAGGTGTCAAAAATTGTGGCCTCCATGTGGGATAGCCTAGCTGAAGAACAGAAACAGGTATATGCACATATGTTTATATCCTCACTGACACAAAGGTAAACTCCCTCTCTACAGGTGGATCATTTCATATCATGTTAATCTTAGGGGAGTGAAAATGATGGCTGGTGGTATTGTACAGAAAAACAGTCTACTGACATCAGCGGTACTTGTTTGGTCTCCACTAGGTTTACAAGAGAAAGACAGAAGCAGCCAAAAAGGAGTATTTGAAAGCACTGGCAGCATATAGAGCCAACCAGCTCTCACAGGTAACATCACTCTGTTCTTGAAAGGAAAACTCATTTATTGCTTTATAGGATTTTTATTGCTATGGCTTTTCTGATTTACACTATATTGCCAAACGTATTCACTCACCCATCTAAATCATTGAATTCAGGTGAAAGAATGTGAAAGAATGGGTTGCTCTCAGGAGCTCAATGAATCCCAGCGTGGTACCATGATAGGATGCCACATGTGTAATAAGTCCAGTCGTGAAATTTCCTTGCTACTAAATATTCCACAGTCAACTGTTAGTGGTGTTATAGCAAAATGGAAGCGATTGGGAATGACAGCAACTCAGCCACAAAGTGGTAGGCCATGTAAAATCACAGAGCGGGGTCAGTGGATGCTGAGACGCATAGTGAACAGAGGTTGCCAACTTTCTGCAGAGTCACTAGCTACAGACCTCCAAACTTCATGTGGCCTTCAGATTAGCTCAAGAACAGTGTGTAGAGAGCTTCATGGAATGGGGTTCCATGGTCGAGGAGCTGCATCCAAGCCTTACATCACCAAGTGCAATGCAAAGCGTTGGATGCAGTGGTGTAAAGCACGCCACCACTGGACTCTAGAGCAGTGGAGACGTGTTCTCTGGAGTGACGAATCACGCTTCTCTGTCTGGCAATCCCATGGAAAAGTCTGGGTTTGACAGTTGCCAGGAGAACGGTGCTTGTCTGACTGCATTGTACCAAGTGTAAAGTTTGGTGGAGGGGGGGTATGATGTGGGGGTGTTCTTCAGGAGCTGGGCTTGGCCCCTTAGTTCCAGTGAAAGGAACTCTTAATGCCTCAGCATACCAAGACATTTTGGACAATTTCATGCTCCCAACTTTGTGGGAACAGTTTGGGGATGGCCTGTTCCTGTTCCAACATGAAGTCCATAAAGACATGGATGAGTGAGTTTGGTGTGGAAGAACGTGACTGGCCTGCACAGAGTCCTGACCGCAACCTGATAGAACACCTTTGGGATAAATTAGAGCGGAGACTGCTCCTAAACCTTGTGGACAGCCTTCCCAGAAACGTTGAAGCTGTAATAGCTGCAAAGGGTGGGCCAACATCATATTAAACCCTATGGATTAAGAATCGGTTGTTATCTAAGTTCATTTGCATGTGAAGGCAGACGAATGAATACTTTTGGCAATATAGTGTATTTAATGTCTGCATTACAGCCTGCCACTGAGGAGATGGAGACTGCACCTTCACCACCTCCACCTGCAGCGCTTCCCTCTGCTGGTCAGCAGGCCATCTGCCCAGGTAACAACAAGCAGGAAGAGAACACCATCACCAACATCTGTACCTCCAACATCATCCTGGATGTCCCGGAGATGGCAACACGTTCCCGCACTGGTGCAAACAAAACCTCTGCTCCATCAGCAGCAGTAGCAGAAGCTCCCCCAGCCCAGACCATCACCAAGATCATCATCTCAAAGCACATGTTGCAGGCAGGGGGCCCGGTGGTGACTGTGTTGCCCGGAGGGGTCCGCACTTTGCAGCCTACACTCCTAGTGTCGGGTGCCTCTCGTCAGCCACCTCCGCTGCAGCAGATGCAGACCACACCGCCTCCACCGCGGCTCCAGCAAATGGCACCAGCTCCTCCACCCTTACAGGCCAAGCCTCGAGAGGGAAGCACCACACCAGGCCTCCCCGTGTCTGCCATGGCTACACCTCCGCCTCCACTCCAGATAAAAATAGTTCCTGCATCCTTGCTGGGGAAAGAGGTCCTGCCAGTTATTGCCCCCTCTACAGAGGCTGCGTCATCTACTGCAACTACATCTGGCCAACCTGCACCTGTTGTGTCAGTGCAGTTGGTAAATTCTGCTGATGTGCCAGTCAATGCAGATGAGGATGAAGTAACAGAAGTGCAGCCTTCAGAGGAGGTAAATGCTTAACGTTGCTTCGGCTGTTATGTTTCACTTTGATTTGATTATGTTAATGTGACCTAACTTTGGATATTTCAGTTCTTCAAAGCAGGCTCAGACAGTGCCAAGATGTTGCTGTAGCAGCAGATTATTCAGCTTTCACTAGGGTGGACTATAATCCATTTTTAGTTAGGGAAGTTTTTAAATTAACTGCCAAATGTTCACTACTTCTTCACGCTACCATTGTGTCTACATATGTCAGTGTTTAATGGGCCTTTTTGCTTAGTTTACAGAAATTAGAGTAGATGCATTTAAAGATTTACATATCAAAATAAATCTACAACTTGATGTAAATTGATTACAAAGCCCAAATTAAATGATTTTAGAAGTGTATATACCATGTGTTATGATGTACCTAATTGCCTAAAAGGCAAATGCTTTCAGAAGTTACATAAGTTAAAGGCAAAGCAGATAAGTGTGAAAGTGGGACAAGTGATTTTAGGTGACATACAATGTTCAACACCTGACTGTTTGCTTAATGTCCTATCACAACAGAAGACACAAGAGCACCACTAACAAATCTGTGAAATGTTCAGTAAAAATACCGACCAAGGCAAAGATGCAGGATAAATTCCAAGGCACTGAATAGAAATGGGAGACCGTGTTCACACAAACACTTGCTTTATAGCTGAGTGGCAAAGAGAGCGCCACAGTTGAAAATGCTCACGTGACACCTGGGGAATTTACCTTCCAGATGTGCACAGACATCTAAATGCATTATCTAGTCAGGGGGTTGTAATTACTGTCTAACTGCTCCTCAACACAGACTTGACGAGGGTGGCTCGTTGCTATTTTTGTATTTTACATCCATTGGATTTGACATGAAATCTGTTTTCTCTTTGCCAAAAATCTCATTTCCATTCACTGTGATTTAAAGCTGTAAAACAGGACAAAAAAGTCTGAGATGTTGAATATTTACACAGACGTCTTGTGTATTTTTAATCTCACTTCCTATTTCACTGCGTCATAATGCGTTGTGGACAAAATTGCACTCTTGTATGAGCATCAGCTGCTGTGACAAGCAGCGTGTAGAAAATACCAGACACTGATATTAATGTTGCCCTTTGAAATCCTCCTTCTCAGGATGAGATGGAGGTGAATGGGTCCAGTGACGTGGCATCTATGAAGAGTGTGTGTGTGAGGGCGGGCTGCAACAACCCTGCAGTAGAGAGTGAAGACTGGGACAAAGAGTACTGCAGCAACGAATGCGTGGCCACTCACTGCAGGTGTGTGCAGGTTTCAGACATGCACTGGGATGATGCTGCCATTTCCAGCAGACACTGAAGAGCTTTGTTTTCTAACTTTGTTGGGGCGGGGGGGGTTCTGTTTCAGAGACGTGTTCAAGGCGTGGTGCTCCATCAGGAGTCAGACCATGGGAACAGTGAAGTAAAGTCCAGCTGCTCCTGATCACGTCATGTTTTTCACCAGGTGACAGTGTTAATAGTTGGAGGGTAGATGTAGAAGTGGGGCAGTGCAGACGCATGTCATTATTCTTCCATTGTTTTTTTACGTACTGTGGGTTTGACAGTTTGTTTAGGACAATAAGCAGTATAAAACAGACAAAGGCACTGAAATAGGCCCACCTCTCCAAGCATTCTAACTACAGACACCTCTGCTGTGGATACCCAATACTGGACTGTACACAGCTTTTAGTCAGGCATGGAGGGATTTCAAGGCAGCTGCAGAAAAGATCAGCAGTGCAGAAGATGGTCAAGACAATGGTATTCTCCCTCTCTTTTTCTTTTTTTTTATTGAACCTGACATCAGTTTCTGTCTTGTTTACTGTAAATTAGAACTTTTGAAAAAAGATAAAGTAGGTGAGAGGTCTTGGCTCTGACTGACATTTCTTACAACAGGCTGTCAGTGTACAGTCCTCCACTGTCTGGTCTGAAATTCACACACGTGTTTTGGTGTTAAGGTCTCCTGTGTTAAGCGAGAAAACACAGAGCAGTGTCCGTTCCTTACTCAGCTGAAAAATACCTTAATTTGAGAAGAAAACATTTTGTATCACCATATACCTCGTTTTTGTACTGTTTGCGAATGTTGGTCTTCTAGGCTTAATACTGCCTTCTTTCTTTTGAAACTGGTTTCAGATCATTGTCTGTGGTTAAAAATGCTTGATATTCATAGTTTTTTTTTTTTGAATAAACAGGCAAAATTGCTCAAGCCAGTGATTTTTCTGTTTTTGTCCTTTAACATGAGCCTACATAACGTTTGAGAGAAGAAATAATGTTCCTCTGGCAGATGGAAAGTTCACAATTAAACATTCTCACTAAATTCTATATACAAATTTACAGCTGCATCCTTAGGTTCGCTAGGGTTGGCGAATAGTAACCTAACTTCTGCTACTGTAGAGCTATACATTCATGAGCCACTTTATTAGGTACGCCTGTACAGTTGTATGCGCTTCAATGCAACACCTCTGCCTTAACATCTGTGTTTATGAAGCTCAAAATGTTTCAGGCTTTGTGAGATTGTCAAATGTATAAAAATCAATTGTATGTTTATTATTGAGGTCACAGTTAAAGGTGGTGGTGTACTGGACTAAATTATATTCAGAGGTGTTCCTAATCTTCTGACCCTCTCATGTATGTAGCTGGGGAGGACAAAAGCATAGAAGCACAGCTTCATAAACACATGTTAAGGCTCAAGTGTTGCACCGAATTGCATACAACTGTACAGGTGTACCTAATAAAGTGGCCGGTGGGTGTAGTTTGGCATAGTACTTCATATTGAGGTTAGTCATTAAATGATGCTGACAAATGGCTTTGGGGTTCCAAATCCTGATTGTTGCATCTTTCACATTATTGTGACTCAAGAGGTTTTTGTAGGAAAACAGAACAGTCATAGTGAAAAGCAGAATAGGGCTGATATTTGATACGAGTACCAATGAGATACCTTGTTTCTGATACTGGTTCCCAAACAATGCTTTTATCGATACCAATTTTATAAATCAACTTTAACTATACATACATACATACATAGAGAGAGAGAGTTAAAGTTGATTTTATAAAATGTGTGTGTGTGTGTGTGTGTGTTTGACATTTTGGTACAGATCATATTAGTTTTATTTTTCAATTCTTTGGCATTTTTGTGCAGTCAAAGCAGTTTCATTAAATAAAAAGTAAACCTATTTACCACAGCCTTAAGTTCTGTTAACGTTAACATCCATACAAATGTAGAGAAGCATTTTTCAGTACTCCGGTACTGAAGTAATTTGATTGATGCCAGCACTAGGTAAGACTGATTATCATCCTTCATTAAAAGGGCCTCAGCACTGAGTAATAGTATGTAGTAAACTCAGATTTAGTCTCATAGTACAGTCACAACCTTAGTCTGATATACTGTGTATGCTGGTGTTGGATTCAGACTGAAATAAAGATTTAACTGTTAAACACACTGTACATACCACAAATCACTATACAATATAAAAATATACCTGAGGCAAATGTTCCTTGTTGTTGCTGTGGTGTAGTCAGGACTGCTCAGAAACCAAACCGACACCCCTACACTTTCAGAGCCAGCCACTGGACTTAGGGCAGTCTGGGTCTAGTATTTTGCTCAATAAAGGGACAGTCTGCAGGATTATTCACGAGGCTCTGACAATAGAGGCCCTACTGGGTGGATCCATGTGGTAAAGTCCCAAACCCAGACACACTGGCTGAGTCAGTTCAGCCCTGAATTCGTGCAGCTGTGTGATGGTGGACTCCACAGCAGTGAATGTGATGTTGCCTTTCTCAAAATTAACTATCACTGCAACTCGGCTGCTCTGCAGGGTTCCAGACAGAGCTGTTTTCCTTCTGTTGTGGCGAGCAAACAGCTCGCCTTCACCATTGTGTGTCAGGCTCCAGGACTCTGCATTGTTTCCGAAGGCGCTGCTGTCTTTGCTCTTACGTTGGATGCTCTTGTAGGACACTGCAATGTCCCAATATCCCTCAGCCTGCACCTCCCAAACGTGGGTACCAGAGGAGAAGCACTGGGCGGAGAGGACTTGTGGAGCCTCATCAAAGCGGTTGGTACTGCTGGGGTAGTCCAGCTTGGCTTTCACTCGCTCTACTGATTGAAGGTCAGCTGAGACTCCAAGGAAAGGACTGGCAGTGTCCAGGTCCAGCATGAGAAAGCCTGAAAGACAAGACCATTTTGTGAGTCTACATACACAATTCTGATGCTACCTCAGTTTAGAATGTAGTATGTTAATGGAAACTAAAGCAGTGATGAGCATGACCATGACTCTTTGGGTTTTGCATTATATTAGAATATATGTAATTTTAAAGTGTAGGTTCTGAAAGAAGGCCTAGCATTCTTTTTCTTACAAATGCAGATGAAAACTTGTCACTTGATGTTAGTGTAAACATCTTACCCAGGTTTCTGTTCTGTTCAGGTGTCTCAACCCGTTATGTAGTAGATGGTCAAAAACTAAATGATTAAAATGTAATGATGGTCAATGTGCATAAATGAAAGTGGAAGTCTGACAATGGTCATGCAGATGAAACATTTTATTGGCATTTCATTGAAGATAAAATGGAGAAGCTAAATCCACAGTGGTAACTGCAGCAGAATCCAGACTCAGAAACCAAACTTGGGTTCATCTTCATCTATTAAGGCAACTTAATTGATACAGAAATGATGCAGATGATCAGAAACCTGGATAACATTAGAACCATGACAAAAGTGATGTTAAGAACCAGTCCTCCATGCTTATGCTGACAATGTCAATGTGCATGTGATCATACTTATTGTGTTCTTATCAGTCATTAAAGTGACACTACAGACAAAGGGCTTCTATACTGTAAACATCTTACTGTCAACACAGGTTCACAAACAGCTTAAAGTCCTCTCTCCTGCCTTTAAATAAACATTTCCAACCCGACTCCTTGTTTTCAGCAGATTTTCATACCTTTATCTTCTGTTTCTGGAGGTTTGTGGCTCATCATTGGATGATCAACCAATAGTTCTATGTAGGGATGTTAAAAAAAAAAAAGTTTAACTGGAATAAACATAGAATGATTACTGGAAAACGTCCTAGGGATGTTGATTTGATTTGATTTGATTTATTCTTTCAAGCATGTAAAAACAGTTGATATGTCAACACACATAATTTTACACATAATCCAATATCAATTTGCTTATACCTAGTACATGCTTGAATGGAGTAGGAAGAAGTCAGACTTATCCAGTCCTACCCCATATTATAACAGTGTTAACATTCTTACATAATTACATTCTTAAATAATTATCTTCTACACCACACAAGTAATATAGTAAAGAATTATTACAAAGTGTTAACATTCATACACCACACCCACAATGTTCCATGTAATTAATCATTGAGCCTGTTCTTGCATATATCTTGTCCAGTAAAAGGAGAATGAGATCAGACAATAGAGCTGTTGACTTCAACTCTACCCTCCAGATGCACATTTTCATACATTTAACATAATGGTAACATAATGGAAGTATTACACTAACAAATAAACACCCCCACCTTAAACTTGGTGTGTGATTTGAATTGCCACTTGTATTAAAATTTTTTGAAACATCAAATAGAAGCTGTAGCATGAAATCTTTATCTTAATAGTATTAGGCTTTGTAGGTTGTTATCATTGCATAAACAGGCAGCAGAGACTCGACTTCATACCTGCGATGGTGGAATAGATATGATGCACACGGCTCTGCTGCTTGTCCAGCGCTTCTGCCAGCGTCTGGTTTTCCACCGAGAAGTTGTAGGCTGGTTGGGCACAGACAGACATCACTGAGTGCATGTTTGCACAAACACAAGACAAAGCGTGTACTGTATACTAAAGCTTGGCTACTGACATTTGTAAAAGCTGATGTATAAATTAAGAAAATTGTTTTCCTACCATAATACAGAACTATGAACCAAAGACAGAGCAGCACCACAGTGACACTGTTAAGGCACGAGTTGGCAGGGTTCACTTTCCGTTTCTGTCATGAGGAAAATATACATTAGATGTGAAAAGTGTTGAAAACAAACTGGAAATCCTTGAAAAATCACAAATTGACATTTTCCGAAACAGGGCTCACTTCACGTTGGATGTCTTCTTGTAGTTTTCGTACGGAGTCAGTGGATTCTGTAATTTGCTCTCTGATCATTGTGAAATGCTGGTCCATGAAGTCCTGTTGAATGCACACACAGCTGTACACCTTAATGCCCCACTTTCATCTTATTTTCCCTTAAGCTGAGAACAATCATCATCATCCACACTGTCTGACAACATCATGTACAGAGCTACAACTAGCTATCACTCTCATGACCGATTAATCTGATGATTATTGACTTTAATAGACTGTTTGCTCTATAATGTCAAACATTTACAAGATGCTCATCACAATGTTGTAAATACCAAGATGATGTTTTCTAAATGCTTATTTTGTCCAAAATCCAAAGGTTTCAATTTAATACCACATATTACAGATATATGCTATTATTCCTCACACTTATGAAATGTGTATTTCTTGACATTTTTGCTTGAAAAATTATTAAATCAGCATCATCATTTACCGCTGATCCACTAATAACACTCTGCTTCAGCTTGCTGCAGCTATTAAAGCTGTATCATGTTTACACTGAGTGGAGTATTCAAACCCAAGGCTCTACGTTATGTCTGACCTAAATGTGATATTCCAGATGTTTTGTGCATCATTTTATACTCAAAATGCAGCATTTGGAACCTTTGAAAACTCCACTAGAATTTACAATAAACGTTGCATGGATTTTTCCACAAAGGTTTTCAGCACAGCATGAATTTGAAGAGGCATGTAAGTAGTAAGGGGTGAATGAATGAAGTGAGGAGGATATGGTCAAAGTGTTTATGAGACTATCTGGGACCAGAAAATCCTGTTTCTCCGCAGCACAGACAGCAAGAGGAGTTATGGTTAATCCCCTGTATTTCTAAGACAGTGTTCCTTCCTTTGTAATGTTGTGTGTGAAGCTGTATAATATGGTGTGAAGCAGTGCTGCTCAAACTCACAGTCAGCTGTCTCCGCAGGACAGTGAAAGCCTCCGTGGCCACATTGTGCTGCTTGCTCTCCAGTGTACAGACAGTGCAGATATAGCGCCTGGACGCGTTGCAGTAGTACCTTAGGACTTCGTCATTGTGCTGTGGGCATTTCCTCTCCAGGAGGTCACCCAAAGGCCTGACCATGGGGTGTCCTGTGAACACTGGCAGTTCAAGGTGATCCCTGACGTGCTCTTTGCACAGCGATACCTCACACTTCAGACAGGTCTTGATGGCCATGGTTTTCCTCTCGGAGCAGAAGTCACAGTACACATTTTTTGTCTGCTCTGCCTGCTTACAAAAACCAGAGATATGGGAAAGGTGTGTCAGGCATGTGTCCACATTTGATAGTTATTTATAACATTGTTATGTTCTGGTATTAGCTAATCCTCTACATCTTTTATCACAATTAGAGAAAGTGTAGGTGAGAAAAGGGCTAAGAGCAGGTACCCTCCTCCTCCTGTTCTCCCTGAAGTCATCTGCAATATTGGCCAGTGCGTAATTCTTCTGTACCCCCATGATCTGCCCAAAATTAGTCCTACAGTCTGGACAACGGAAGGGAGCATCTGAGAAGTGATCCATCATATTTTCCAGACAACCCATACACAAGCTGTGTCCACAGGGCAGCTGCCGAGGATCTTTGAAGATGTCCTGACACACTGGGCACATTAGCATCTCCTCGAGCTGGCTTTTCTCTGTATCTGCCATTCTCGATCCCTCTCCTTCAAGGAGCAGACAGGAAGTAGTTAGGTGCAGTTTGATCAGCACTCGTCCTGTGCCTTTAGAAAACCCTTCCTATTTTGTTTGTTTGGAATTCCCCATGAGCTTTAACACAGGATCAGTAAAATGATTCCTACCTTTAAACTTACAGCTCAGTTAGAACCCTCAGTTGTTTGTGTTGACTTCTGCATACACGCACTGCCGAAAGTGAAAACACAGTGCTGCTGAGTTTATAATGGCACTTCCGGGTGGGGCGGAGCCTAAGGAGAGGACGCGCTAGAGTAGCTAAGCCTCTAAAAATGAGATGAGTGGTTTAAAAGATTAGTACAAGATTTCATTACCAAAATATCATTATTAAATACCTAAGAAATAAGATTTGTTAAAAAAAATCTTTTTTTAAATTTATAAACAGTGAGTAAAAGATAGACTTGGTTGGAGCTGTTGTTGAGAATTTGAGTTCACCGAACTCTGTCTAATCTCTTTGCCACTGAAAATATTTGGACTATTCAAACACAAGTGTAATTATTCACATTCTTAATGTTCGGCCCGTCTATCTGTTCAGTAAAAGTGTTCCGAGTCCGCCATTTGTGGTCACCGACTGTCATGCCTCAACAAAATGGCACAGACTGTATTACACCAATCAGAGACATGTAAACAGCTGTGTACGTGAACCGTGGCTGTGTAGTTAATAACGTTCACCTTGTCGTGCACATAGCGTTAATGCACCACAGTGGGCTGTCTAATAATAGTAAACCACGTGTTCATTGATACATTTGTTTTTCTTCTCTGCCCCACTAAAGAACACGTGAGCTCCCAACTTGTTCACAGTTTTTAACTTTTATTCTTTCGCCGAGTGACGGAATTTATGTCAGAAACTTATTCTCATGGAATTGGTAGCTTGTCAGTAAAAAAATAAAATCAAAACACTATTCACTCTTTCTCTTCCTCCGACGGCCAGTGTGTTTAAAAGTCAAATGATCCGCTCCGAAATCTCATTATCATAACAATTCTTCAGTACCACGCATTAAAAAGACTCCAACAGCCACAGTCAAACAATTAACGACTTGGTGTAGCCTTTATTCACAGTAAATAAATAAATAAATAAAATAAAATCGTTGCCCAATGGAGTCCCCAAGGGATGGCCAGGGAGGACATAGCTCCCATCCTAAACTTTAGCTACTAGACACCGCCCCACTTTGCAGTGAAGTCCTTAAAAATCTGCTATTCTTTGTGTTTAAGGTGGAACACATTTGAGTTAAATAATGGACGAAAAGCTCAGATAGTTTACTTTAGCAACACCACAGTATACAAATACTGTGTTACAAGTCCTGCATTCAAAATGTTATGTCATTATGCAGAAGAGCACATTCCACATTCATGTATATTAATTGATAATTATTGATGCATCATTGTGTTAATTACTTTAATGCTGCAGCTGGTAAAAGTGGAACTAATTTTACTTTTACTATAGCTACAGGTTTGAGTTTTATTAATCTGATTCTGAAAGTTATCAAATACATGTAGTGCAGTAAAATGTACAATATTTGCCTCTACACCGTACTGAAGTATTACTATGAAGTAGCAGAAAAAAGAAATGCTCAAGTTGAGCACACATCAAACTTGTACAGTGTTTGAGTAAAGGCAGTTACTTTACACCACATGTGTTCTAACAAGGCATCTTTATAAAGGGTTAAATGGTCAAATAAATCTCTAGCTAGTAACCTACTCAGTCATTAATAAATGCACAAGTTTTATTTTCTAATAAGGCAACAGGTTTGCCCTTATGCAACATAGGTCAACAAACCTCTGCATTTACACACTTAAGTTCTCACTTTCTGATGTGGAATCAGTAAAAACAACAAGTTGCCCAATAGCTGGGTTCAGAAGGTCAGAGGTCAAACAGTCCCATTTTCCTGATGAACTAATGTGCTGAAGGATAAACACCAGTCAAAATGAACAATTCACATCCTGGCAACCCAAAAGATGTTCCCTCACTCCATACTAAATACAGTGTGTGTTTAGGGGTCACACAACAAAACACAATTATCTGTTTGCCACAAAAATGTCTTTTATTAATGTAAAAAATTTTTATCTGGCATCAGAAATTTGAGATGATAAAAACAGTAACAATCACAGAATATGAAACCTTTTTTGAAATGTCTTAAAAAAAGAGAACACAAAATTTCACTTGTTTGACCATATGTAAGTTTATCATAGAACAATATTTATTTCAGTGTTTTTACTTTAAGTAAATTTTTTATTTTTTTTTATAAAGCCAGCATAGCTACTCAGACATTTAAGTCAAGCAAAGCAACACGTCTACACAGAGTACATTCAGTAATCCTACCATGACTATAAAACAAGTTTTCATATGAGTGTAGTTTAAAAAAAAAAGTGTAATATAAAAAATACAGACATCAAAAACAAACAGAAGTGAATATATATATTTATATATTTGTTGGAACGCCGATCCCGCTTTGCTCTTCACCGCAATGGCGCTCCGGAACGTGTTGTTTACAAAACCAGAAAACCCATATTTCAAGCCACCACTGCTGCACATCTGCATGGTGGCAGTGGCCAACCAAGTCCAAGGTGGTCTCATGGGCATTAAGAGAAAACACAGCATATCCTGCTGTGATAAAACAAAACAAGAACATAGTAATTTCTGATGGGGAATCTGTGACCAAATTAACAGTTTTTGAGGAGTTTGCCTCACGATTTAAAGAGGGCCAATTGTATCTAATAAAAGGCCACCGGCTCATGGGCAAGGTGCCCCCCTACTCCATCAGCATAAATAAGAACACCTTGTTCTTCTGCAGCGCCCCAGCGCACATCACTGAGGAGCTGAAATAAGAGGCTGCAGCCCTTATTCAGCCTACTTCAACTGAGACCACCCTGGTAAATTGTAAAGAGACTCATGGGTTAACAACTGTATGAGGACAGGTAGTGGAGGTGTCTGGGGTGAAACGCATCAAGATAGGGAGAGAAGACATCCCCCTGAGAAGTGTACTTCAACAGAAGGACACAGCAAAAGTGTCCCTGTGGCGGGAGGCATCCATTTCAGAACACCTGCAGCTGGGATCCTCACTGAGAGTATCCCATCTGAAACCTGGCAGGTCTCATTACGGGTCGACCAACTTCAAAGACTGAGCAAGTCATCAGCACATGTGAGGCAGCCAAAATCATGGGTGTCACTGAGCCCGAGGGCAAAGGTGTCCTCAACCTGTTGCTGGAGGACAAACGGATTGTCATCATTGAGGAACTTGCAGTATGTGGCAGGAATCTGATGGACAAGTGGTTTGTGAGGGACAAGCAGTGAAAATAACACTGGAGACGAAGTGATACATAGCAAGGCAGCGAAGCAGCAGCCAGCTCTTTAGGTGTTACGACTGTCCATTTTATATTTCATATGGGGATTTGACCATAGTTGTTTTTATAGTGGGTAGTTCACACTAATAGTTTGTGTTTTAGTTAACAGCCTATATTTTTGGCAAATGTCCATTAAAACAGAAATTAAAGGAAGTAGTATTTGAATTACATAAGGTGGTTAGGCCACAGCGCTCTTGCTGCTGCGGCCCAGGTTCGAGTCAGGGTCATGTCAGGAAGGGCATCACGTGCCAAATGTCAATAACGAATCATCAGTGTGACATTTAGTGAATATATATCTCAAACTTTCACACAGCAGAGGTTGGCTGGTGAGGAGCTGTAGTTTGCCCAACCAAAACAATCACCAGACATGTCTCTCCAACATCAACAATCTCTAATGTGGGCAACATCAGCATGTATGTGGTATAACTGGGTAATTGTGCAAAGGGGGGTGGGGGGGGGATTCCTTGCAGAATGATCTAATCTAATGCTGAGTGCACCTATTGTCCCAGTCCCACCACTGGTCCACCACTGGTCCACAAAAATATATCATGGAATAAGAAAGAAAATGCTCTGAACTTCAATCAATCAGGATTTCTTTCTCTCATCTTTATATGACAGTGGTTTTCTTTTTTCAGTCTGAGGTAGAACATGATACAACCACTACAACCAGCTGCTGACAGATGTGTTCCCACAGCTACAAGCCAGCAATCATCCTAAATGAAGGGGCAAAGAATCCACACTGGCTCATATTGTGTTTCTCCAGATTCTTCATGATTCTGAACATCTTCCCACATGAGACACAGCTAAAAGGCTTCTCTCCTGTGTGAAACCTTAAGTGTGCTTTCAGGTTCTCTCGCAGACGGAAGCTTTTGCCACACTGCGTGCAGGTGTGGGGCCTCTCCCCTGTATGGAACCTGACGTGTCGGCGGAGGCTCTTCCTCAGTGCAAACATCTTAGAGCAAACTGAACAAGAGTATGGTTTTTCTCCAGTGTGGAAGCGCTCATGGCGTCGAAGGATCTTTCTGTGTTTGAATGTTTTTCCACATTTGCTGCAAGCGTATCCATCACGGGAGTGGGTGACGACCTTTTGGAGACGCCAGACACTATCTCCACACATGGTGAAGCAGCAGAGACGATGACCTGTGTGAAGACCCTGGTGGCGGCGGAGGTCTTTGGGCACAGGCCAGCCAGTGTCGCGGTCAGCAACATGACCCTGAAGCTTCATCTCTGACTTAGGCACCATGAGCACATCCACCAGTTGTACTGCACAGCGACGCATCAGCTTTTGATCTGGAGAAGTCAGTTTCAGTTTGATGTGGAGATTGTTCTTAGTCTCCTTTGGCGTATGGATCCGTTCCCAAACCCCAACCTGCGCAGGATTCGCAGCTCCATCAGATGAGCACGGACTGTAGGCGGTACCCTTGGCGGTGCTGACACACCCTTGGTGAGGCTCAGGTTGAGTTGGCGTCTCTGAACTGTCAGGTTTTGGAGCAGGAGACTCTGGTTTAAGTATTAATGGGCAAACAAATTTCACCCTCTGCCCAGAAGTAATATCACTTGTATCTGGCCGGATCACGAGAGGCTTCTCTTTAGCTGGAGGTTGTTGCATAGATCCATTTCTTAATGGATCTGTCCGCGTCTCTGCAGAGAATGAAAAAGGAAAGTTTGTCAGTGCAGTAGCTGCTACAAGGGACTAGTTAATTCATATTTTTAAGGAAAACTATTTGTGATACTTGTGTCTGTGCAAAAGCCTGAACTCCAAGTATTGAATTCAGTAGCTCTTTAAGTGTAACTTAATGTCTTTCCATCCATCCACAGGGAGCAGAGCCTTTCCCAGTATGCACCGAGACAGATGCCAGGGTTATGTTGTGTTCATGTCTGGTTTTCTTCAACAGCATGATATACATTACCAGTGAGATGTTTGGACACACATTCCCATTCAATCCATTAGGAATGTGTGTCCAAACGTTTTATTGGTTGTGTGATATGTTTAACACAGATGATTCAGTTACCAGTATTTGTATCACAGCTATCGTTTCCAATATACGATCTAAGATAAACAGTCACCTCTTGCAACAAATGAAGTGAATATTGGAGTAAAATGTATTCATCTTGGGAAATGATTTTGTTCTGAGCAAAACAGTCATTCAAATTCCGCACAGATAAAAACCCAACCAAGTCTCAATTGCAGGATTTGTGTCCGTTCATGCTTCCCAACTTTTTGCCTGTGTGTTTCAGCCAACTGTGGATTTCAACTCAACCGCCGTGATTTATTTTTTTCTCTTACCGTGCAAAACAACTTCTGCCTGGGCTTCACTATCAGCTGGAGATTCTGTTTCAAGGACGCTCAACTCCAGCATATCCACAGTCTCTCCCAAAACCTGATTAAAGAAGAAACCTAACAAATCTGCATGTGTGCGAAACAATACTTGTCACGAGAACAACTAAGATCACGCTGCTGGGGAAACATATTCCATTTAAAACGTGCTATAAAGGACATGCCAGGCTGTGATGTCATGGTTATGCAGAAGTCACAAAGCTGCTATGAGTTTCACTCTCATCCCACAGGTCATTTACACCCCTGTAAATTTTCACTGACCTGTTCCTTCAGATGGGACCACTCGGGGTCAGAATGGCCATTAGCTTCAGCCAGGAAGATTTCTGTTGGAAGGAGACCCGCCTCCACTACATCCTCCGCTTTGCACTCATCGTTTGAGAGGAAAGAGGAACCTGTGTAGATGAGGGGGGGAGGGGTTATACAGGGGCACTATACATTCCTGTAAGCTAGCTTTGCAATGAAGACCACCACACAGGAGATTGTGCAGCCATTGTAAATCACCACAGCGTATGCATGAACGAAATGCACAGATTCATAAAGCTACATATGTGCTGATTGCCAGATCATCTTTCTGACTTTTCATGCAGTTAAAGCCTTTAGCAGCAGCTAATTTAGTCTCTTCTCTCCCTGCAACCTAGCGAACCTAAACAGGAAGTCGTAGCATTTAAAGCTCCAAAAACACAAACCAGAAAACTCCAACAGCGAATAAATATCCTCTTCAACTTGTACTCCGATGCTGCGTTTTGTGCCTGCGGGTGGAAAACTATCGAGCCTCTCCAAGGTTTCGTTTTTCTTTTCGTCGTCGCTGCGGCCCATGTCTGCATCCGCGGCCGAGGCTCCGTATCTGCTCTCGAACAGTTTGGTTAACTCCACCGTGGCCGCTTTGACCAGCGCTCCCAGCACCAACTCCACCTGCGCCTGGAGGTTCACGGTGCCCGCGGACATCTTGAGCGTTCGGACTGTGCACAAGTCAGAATTTGTACGAAATTTTGAAGTGGAAGTCAAGTATTAGCACAGACCTTTATTTACCAACCACAGCCACATGGCTCGCGAGCTAAAGAAGGGGATGTCTCGTACGACGCATGCGTGACAGCTAAGACTGGCGGAGCTAAAAGACGAAAAGAACTCAGTAACTTTATGTTTTTAGTGATTCAGTGGCCAGAAAAAGTATGTGAACCTTTTGGGATTTCATGGTTTTCTGCATTAATTTGTCATAAAATGTGATCTGATCTTCATCTAAGTCAAGAGTACTGATGAATACAATGTGCCTAATACAACAACACAAAGAAATTCTGATCTTTCATGTCTTTATTGAGAACAACCATAAAAACCTCACGGTGCTAGTGGAAAAAGTACGTGAACCCTTGAGTTAATGACTTCAAAAAAGCTAATTGTTAAGAAAATGAGTTTGGAGGTGTGGACTAGAGCTACTTGAGCTACTGACTGATAAAAACCACTCAAACCTTTTTTGAGTTTGCTCCACACAAGAAGAATATGATTATGTGAGCCATGCCTCACCAAAAAGAGCTTTCAGAAGATCTACGATCAATAATTGCTGATTTACATAAAGGTTTATAAAGTGATTTCAAAGACTTAAAAAAAAATCACCAGTCTGCAGTTAGGCAAATGATTTACAAATGAGGACACTTTGGGACTTTGGCTGCTCTACTAAAAAGTGGGCACCCAGTCAAAATAACCCCAAGAGCATGACAAAGACTAATCAGTGAGGTAAAGAAACAACCTCAGTGACAGCCAAAGATTTGAAGGCATCACTGGAACTGGATAACATCTGTGTTCATGAGTCTACAGTACGTAAAACATTGAACAAGCAGGGTGTCTATGGCCGGACACCACTAAGGAAGCTGCTGCTTATTAAAAAGAACATTGATGCACGGCTGAAGTTTGTGAAAGAGTACATTGACACTTCACAGTGGTATTGGCAAAAGGTCTTGTGGACTGATGAAACTAAGAGTTAACTATGTGGAAAGAACATGCAGCACTATATCAGGCGTTAAAAGGGCACTGCATAATATGATGAAAACATCATCCCAACCGTAAAGTATGGTATCATGATTTGGGCCTGCTTTGCTGCATCAGGGCCTGGCCAGCTTGCAATCATGGAGGGGAAGATGAATTCCCAAGTGTATCAAAAAATTCTTCAGGATAACGTGAGAATGTCTGTACATCAGCTGAAACTCTGTAGAGGTTGGGTGATGCAACAGGACAATGACCCAAAACACCAGAGCAAGTCCACAACAGAATGGTTTCAGAAAAACAAAATCCGCCTTTTGGAGTGGCCAAGTCAGAGCCCAGACCTCAATCCAGAGATGTTATGGAATGACTTGAAGAGAGCCATACACGGGAGATGTCCAAAGAATATGACAGAGCTAAAGCAGTTCTGCCAAAGAATGGGCTAAAATTCCTCCTGAACGATGTGCAGGTCTGATCCACAGCTACAGGAAGTGCCTGGTTGAGGTTATTGCTGCCAAGGGGGGTCAACCAGTTATTAATTCCAGGGGTTCACTTAGTTTTTCCACTACTATTTTGAATGTTGAATGAATGTCTTCAATAAAGAGAGCTAGAACAATCATTATGTATATTTCACGTTCTGTCATTTTCAATTTGAATTTCCTGTCCATCTCTATTTACTCACATTTTTTTCAAATCATTTAAGTATTTGAGATGTGTTTATGTTAAGGGTTCCTTATCTTAAAAAATTATGATACCGGCATAACTTGCTGTGTGATTGTATAAGAAAAACTATGTTACTGGAAGTCCTAGTGGAACATTATGGGCTACTTTGTTTTTCTGGTGCAGTGGAAATACAGTATCTTTTAATTGATGGACAGCAGTCATATCATATCATAAAGGACCTTTTCATTTCCATCTTGGCTTCCACAGCCACTTTGCCTGTGCCCCGGTTAAGGCAGAGACTGGCCAAATATTGAATTTTCTGTGTAAACAATGGCAAAAACCCTGTATCAGACTGGCAACCTGTGCGAGGTGTACTTTGCCTCTTGCCCAATGTCACTTGGGATTGATTCCATCCCCCTGTGACCCTATTCAGGAATAAGCAGTATAGATAATGGATGGATGGATGGAACACTGGCAAAATTCTGGGACAATATAGGCAAAATGACATTAATAAAATAATGCTTGTAACTTAAACTAGTATGCAACGTCTCTTTCTGTAATCAGGTATTGTGCTGGTGTGAATACTATTCAAAAACAGATACATAAATGGTGTAATTTATATACAGTATAGATTTATGCTGCTTGAAAAATGGCACCAAGCTGGAAATGTGTTGCAACCTGAGAGGTTGTCTGTCCAAGTCTACTTTCCACTTCTAAGTGCTTTAATTTGTGCACAAATTAAGGATGCCAGGCCGAAAATTCCCTGCCTTCTCTTACGATCTTAGTGCACAGATGACTTCACAGAAAACACACCTCATTTTATTTATGAACCTTATTTATATGTATGCACAGAGATAGAAAACTTTGCAAATCTAGTTCAAATTTGTAGAACACTGGAATTCACTGACGTGTGCCACCTTTACTTGAAACCGCAACAGCCAGGGGGCCACAAAATCATTTGTCCATTCCATACAGTGACTTTGCATGTGTAACTAATGTTTTTGGGAGTGTTTTGTGTCCAGATCTATATCCCATTTAGCCATTATAACACATTAAGTATTAAGACATTTCCATATTATTATGTTATCAAACTAATGATGTTTTTCTAGAATTAAATCGAACACACTCAGACCTTCATTAAGAAACTCTACAGTAGTGAGGTTTCTGTCCAAGCTGTCATTTATTTAAGACTTCACAGTAAGTTAAACTTCTCTTGTTACAAAAATAGAATATGGCTGTTGTCATATTTCATCATTGTAGAAAACATCCATATGATGTACAGCACTTTCAGTGTACAATGTTACATTGACTTCACAGAGTAGGCTGTTGATACTCAAGACCTGTCAGAAAAACCTGCTAGCACCATTGGATCTGGCTTCATTTGTTTCAATACTGGGGCAAACAAGAAAATAAGTGGACATAAACACATTCAAAGTGCAACAGACTTCATAGGTGCACTCAGACACCCCTCCAGTACTTTATAAAATAAACTCTTTAATAATATAAAAATAATTATCAGTAGATGGCAAGGTTTTGAAAGAATTTCTTTTTTTATTGTACCAGACAGTGTTACATGTGGGAAGTTACTGTGGGATCTTAGAAAGTACTTTGTTACATGGAGGCTTAGTGAATATGCAGGGGGAGAGATGATTAATGGAATACTGCTGTGGTGAGATGCAGAGACAGGATGATGAAAAGATGAAACATCAAAATGAACTGATGAGTTCAACATAGGAACTAGTTACCAAAGAAGATGGTTTGACAGAGTTAATGATGTTGACTCTTGAAACTGCATTGGTCAGACTTAAAGAGAGAATTACGACATAATGACTTAATAGTCATCATCGTCATCATCATCATCGTCGTCGTCATCGTCGTCGTCATCGTCGTCATCATCATCATCGTCGTCGTCATCATCATCGTCATCATCATCATCGTCGTCATCGTCCTCATCGTCATCATCATCATCGTCGTCGTCGTCATCATCATCATCTTCATCTTCGTCATCATCATCATCAGGTTCGATTTCACCTGACAGAACATCTTCAATCCAGTCCTCCAGCTCTTCTTCAGATGGAAAATCTTCATCATCATCCAGGTCCATCCACACACTGTCAGCCTGTAGAGTGAAGAGGAACAAACAAAACTAACTCAGATGTGGATCCTTAAACTTTAAAACTACTCTAACTAATATCTTTTCAGCCAGTAGAGGGTCTAGTGAGACTCAAAACAAGCTCACAATAAGCCGCTCCTAACACAAGTGCACTGGCAACCTATGCATAAAATACCACAATATTACTCACATCATCAGCCTCAACAACACCAATCTGAGGGGATGACAGGTCAATGCCAAAGGTCTTCTCCCAGTGTGGCACTAGCTGCAGAGAAATTGAGGGAAAACATATTTATCATTCATTCATTCATCTTCTACCGCTTAATCCTTGAACGGGGTCACGGGGGGGCGGAACCAATCCCGGCCGGCAATTGGGCGAAGGTCGCCAATCCATCGCAGGGCTAACACATACATATTTATCATTCAGTGTCAATGAAATGAACATGGAGAATATACTTCAGTGAGCTTCATACACTCTTTGTTATTCCACCTCTGTGCTTACTTGTCTGTCAGTTTAACCCCATCAAGCCATTGTCTTCCAGGTTTCTACTATGCATTATGCATTGTGTTTTATTCCTACCAGGGGGAAGTCGTCAGGGTCAATCCAGACAATGCTGAGGTTAGGGTTGTCTGTGTTATCCTTGGCAACCTCCTTCAGGATTTCCAGGAACTCATAACCATCTGAGGAGTGGAGAAGAAGACCACAGTGAAACGATAACTAAGCAATTGTGCTTTGGTGTCCAAGGTGGAAAAAGGTTGTAATGGGTAACTTATATTTGCTTTCATTATGATAGCATATAAACAAATGATGATGTATGCTATACAAGTTTTGACAAATATTTCCTTCAACCACAATGTTTACATGCTTGATGGTTAAGTTTTTCTTTACCTGGGTCAGATTCCTCAGCAAAAGCGATGATATGTTCACCATCAACATCGTCCTCCTGTAGAAACAATAAAGTCAAACTGAACCCACTGGGGTTAAAAGTAACACACACAAAAATATTATTAGAAACACAATTATTCTGGACTTGTAAACAGAGCCTCTTCATGGACAAATGACTCAACAAGACTCATCCATGTTGTACTGTTGTGAATTGTAAAGTTCTTACCCAGATCTCGTACATGTTGTGTGGTTGCATCTTCCGCAGGGTTGGTCTTGAAAAATACATATCAGTTAGATTTTTGAAGTTTAAACTTTTACCTGATGAGATTGTTGTAGCACAACACTAACAGGACTTACCTGTCATGATCCTCAATGAATTTCACCAGCTCATCCTCAGTGTAGGGTTTTCCAGGGATGACCACTGGATCATCCATGAAGGGTTCATAGAAATCGACCTCATTAAGCCTCAGGTCCAGAGCCTTGGCAACCTGTAACATGTAACCAGAGAATTGAGAAGATGAAGATAGGGAAGATGTTAATGGTTGTTAACAAAGGAAATTATAATTCACAAAATTAAATTCAACAAAATTACAGCAGACCTTAAAATATAGTGTCTATATTATATGGTTTTCTGTCATTTTGAATGTCAGAGGCAAGAATTTAACTTTTTGAATTTTAACTGACTAAAATACACAGTTTTGAATAATAGCCATCATATAAATCAATATTTGGCATCAGGTTTTATTTGGAAGAAGCATTTGAGGGGCACCACTTACCTCAGATGTGATACCCAACCACATCTTTTTGTACCACAAAAAAAAAGTCTTGTTTCAACAAAAGGTCAGCATAGTCAGCATTATGAGTGATGTCTATGAGGTCCAGTCTAATTAAACCTTGATTCCTAAGTCTGAGGAGCTACATTTTTATAAGAACAACATCAGCTTTAGACATCCAAAACTGACATTTCTCTATTAGGCTGTGAAATATATCATGTATTACACTCACTATATGCAATAATATAATTCAGAAGAAGCATTCTGCTCAAATGGGAATTGTCCAACTGTATTTTTAGAGCTTTCAAAGCCTCAGATTCAGCAGACTATTATAATATAGAACTGAATGTACATCGTTTGGTATAAGTCTTAACTGCATTAACATAGAGATGTTGTACTAAAATGGTTTGTTAGATACATTATTCATTCTGTGTCATCAGGGGTCAAAAATTAGAGGTCTAAGCTCCCTGGTGGATCACCTCAAGGCTTTCATTTGGAGCCACTGTTTTTTTCTCCAAAAAAAAAAACAGCTTTAATGAATTTTGTTATATTTTCCTATTTTTAAGATAGTGCCATGTGTCTGATAATCCCCCTGATCATTTCTTACATTAATTTTCAAACAGTCACTCATATTCTACCCAGTCTTCTAAGTAGGTATTATAACATTTTAATTAGATAATATGCCTTAATTGCTCACCTTGGGACTGAATGTGGCAAAGAACTGGATGTGAGGGTGGAACTCTTCAGCAGCATCAGCAAAAGCCTCAAAATCTGAAAATTTACAGGCATCCATCGAGTTTTTTTCAGTAGATTAAATATCTAAAAATGCAAACTAGTTTCTCACATCATTACATGTAGCTTTTAATGTGCTTGCTTAATTATCACCTTAAAAATCAAATCAGTCTGCAGCTCAAACTTAAATCAAGCAATCTGAAACAATTGCACTTTCTTGTTATGCGATTATGAGCAATTACATTGAAAAGCAACTGCAAAGAAGAGACTGAAACAGGTTATCATGCCATCACAGTACAGATTCTTACGTTCTGACTTGTGACTCTTAAAGAAGCCCACCAATTTGATGTCCTCGTCGATGTTTTCAAAGCCTTTCAGTTCCCTATGATTGTCAATAATTTCCACTGGGTCCTCAAGAAGCTATGGGGGAAAGTGAGGGTCATGGAGGAGAGAGACAGGAGACAGAAGAGGACGGGAGTAAGATTCTGTATGTTATCTTTAAAGAAAGGAAACTAGGATTTAAAGACTTTGTTGCTAAAATAAGGCAGGCTATTAACTGAGAGATTATATCCTCACGAACATCAAAGATGAACTCCACAAGAGTGTCTGCTGCCAGCTCGCCATCGTATTCTATAACTTCATCCTCTGTGAAGATGAAGATGCTGTCGGATTCTTCAAGGCCTGGGGAAACAATGGACAGATCAGCTGTTTGACCTCAAGCAGGTCAGTAGACAGATATGTTAATCAACCAGTTTGACTTGATCTTTCCCACATCATTCAATACTGAAAACCACATTATCTCTATTTAGACAAACAAATTAAACATTCCCATTCAATAGTCGAGTGGCTGAGATTGTGACTGTGATTTTTGCATTATGAGTTATGTTCCATGTCTGCAGTTGTGTTTACCTAATTTCTTTGCAACAGCCTTGTCGAGCTTTGCATCAATGAGACCAACTCCAACGTCCTCATCATCAAACTCATCCAGGACCTGGGCTGCAAGCTGCAAACCAAACACACTGTCACATAAAAGAAGACTTACTTCTGATTTTTCAGTGGATTGTATAAAACATGGTTTTATGTACATGGGCATGTATCTGATGCATTTGAGAGCCTTCTTCACTGTTATTTACACCTTTTTGACAAAGTTGTCTCACTGGGTAGCTGCATTACCATAAAAGCCTGCTTTTCAGAGCGCTGCTTATGCACTTTCTAATTCTGTATGAAACCTGAACCTCATGACTGACAGCTGGTTCCACCAATGGCAGTGGCACATTCACAGCCCAACTACACTGAGGAAGTGGTTTGAGGGCCGTTAGTGTACTTGAAGGGTGCACACATCGGTGCACACTGGTGTCAGAGATCTTGAGCAGCTGCCTTTACTGGCAAAAACAAGTCGACTAACCAGGCTGTCATGCAGCTTGTTGTGTAGATAATTCTTAGTGTTTTTTTAAACTTGTTTGGAGCTGCAGGTGGGTGGGGCACAGTAAAGTAGTACAGAGTTTAGTACTTAGCAGCTGTTAAGTTGCAAAATATGAACAATAATATCTCAAATTATTCATAAGTATATACAATTAAAATTAAATACAATGTGTAAAAAAGATTTGTCTATATGTACAATACATTGGTTTTACTTTGACTTGAACTTTTTTTGCATTGCACTATATTTTGTTGCAGACCCCAACCTTTTGGCATTTAAGTGGGCTAAAATAAACTTGTAAAGGGCGAGGGACGGAAATGAGCAAGGCAGATACTGTCCAAGCAACTAAAAAAGGATATAATTTAAGTTGTAATAAACAGCTGTGCAACAAGAGCCAGTGTTGCCTAACTGCCAAATTCTCTTGTCTATGCATGTTAATAAAACCGATTAAATTATAATATTTAAACTTTTCATTAGTGCTTCCCGTCTACTTTTCATCCTCATTAAAGTGCATGTTTATTTCTACAGTTTTCTGTTTTTGGTTGATACAATATGAACATTATTTCATATATCTTTACATATCTTCCAAATATAAACATCCAAAGCTGACTTTGGACCTTGGTGTTCAGACTGTGTGTGTATCTGCAGTAACAAGGCTGGTATCATTTCTTCAGAGTAACTAAACCTCTCCAACTACATATAAGCAGCAGCCTAAGTATGTGAGATGGGATTGATATGTGAATGTTTTCCACTTACACAACATGCAAAGTACATGCCAACTGTACACAATTTCATGTTTAAGTATTGTGATTTTGTACCTTTTTACTGAAACATACATATATGAAAACTATAAACACAACACATTATTAGCTGTCATGATAACAAAGTCATTATTACTAATGTGGAACCAAATAATTTATTCCCTTTTTGGCAAGTGAAGAGTTTGTCCCATTTTGATATCCTAAGAGCCTAAGGAGGAAATATATCCATCCACATGTATGTATCTATAATCTTTACTCATGCACAGTGTGTCTGGAGAATCCAGAGGCATTAATCTAAATTTAAACATAGCAAAAGCAGCATTAAGTTTAAATCAATTTCCTGACACACACAGACCCCAGTCACAGTATTAAACCATCTTAACAATCAAATCAGTTTTCTTTGACTGAAGCAAAAACACTTAATTACAACTTCTTCGAGCTCATCACATTTCACTTGACTTTCCAGAGAACACAGTGACCTCTGAAATTATGAGCCTTTTGCTGTTGCCTCTTACTAATAATAAACCCTGATCAAATGTAAATCATAATGCTTTCATGAGGAGAAACACAAGCCTTTAGGGAGCTCAACCCACCACAAAAGCAGGGTGGGACAAATATAGCGCTAAAAGTCACACCAATACCAGGGACTATTTTGGCCAGGTGGCAGTGATGCTCAGCGCTCTGGGATCCGCTGACAAGTACAGTACTGCAGGTGTCAATCACAGAGCAGCGCTGAGCCAACACTACTGGAGCCAGAACCTCAGTGCTGGCTGTCAGCTGTGAGACTGAGCCCTGAGGCACCCATACAGAGACACCAGAAGTGGCTGGTATGATGTGATATGCTCAGGGGAGCAGTGTCTCTCTTTCTCTCAATCTTTCTTGGTTAGTAATAGTTTCCTTTATAATATTAACCAGATCTATGATTGCTCCTCCCCTTCATTTATTTAATTGACATTATATGACAAGATGTATCGCCAGATGTCAAATGACTGTATAAACACTATTGTATACATTTGTTTGCACATAAATCCTTATTAATATGTGCAAAATAAATCATAATTAAACTGATGGTATATAACCACAGCTGTCAATCATAAATCACAGAAAGAGCTTGAAGGTTTTCTAGGGACTGACTGTCAGTTACTTAGAATTCAGTGCCATTTCACTGACTAGATGCACAAATCTGTCCTGGAATTTCATTGTAAATGCCAAGATGTTATTTCTAAAAGGATCCGTCACCTGTCCCTGCAGCTCTCCTCAAAGTGTAATAATGCATCAAGTGTATAAGGTGACTTGACTTGACTTTATACTGTACAGTGGCCATGGCAAATTTGCTGCCTCATGATCGAGTATTTCCAGTGAAATCCAGTCCTCAAAATGTCTGAAATATAAATAACTCTCCTATATTGTGTGTCTTGAAAAATCCACATGCTGTTCAGCCATAACCTTAATTTCTTTTGGCTTTTGGTCCAATTAAAAGCGAAGAAAACACCTGGATGATTATATGCACTTCAAATCGACAAAGCAAACAAACAAAAAACAACAACAAATACAAATCTAACTTTTGCTGGAAAATGTGGTATGGTAGTATGTAACACGTGATATTCACTATTTTCTAATGCAACCTGAGAGCCAGCCTCAGTCGAATGGTGCTTTCATGTGTTTGTGAGCTGAAGCTTTGTGCTGAATGATGATGTCATGTCTTTCCACAAAGAATGTGTTGAATCCGCTGAGTATCCAGACTGACAGGAGGCCTGAGGTTAGCGAGAGGCATGCTGACAGTGCACCAGCTCACACACACACAAACATACTGTATACATAGTCAGAATCACTGATATATTGGGTCCTCAGCTCAGCTTTTTGCCCCAGGTGTAAGACTCTGATGACACACTGCAGGCATGTGGCACATTTTTAGGACCCCACTTATTCACATTTGTGAATTCAGCATAGCTATTTTACACATTTTAGCATGGTAGCTACTATGATCATTTTTTTAGTGCATTCAAACCTTGGAAAAAAATCTCTGTTGCCAAATATTCCCTCCATTTTCCTCATAGCCATCCAATTAAGAATGTGATTTTAGACATTTTAATTACAGTCCCACACCCAGACTTTAGATTTGCATTTGCGTGAGACAACATTTCTCACCTGCATGGTTTAAAAATGTGTGCACCCAAACTAAACAAAACCAAACTACTTGTTTCTGTCTGTTATACACAAAGAATCCAGTACCAGTTATACTGCTTCCTCGTCAGTATGCTATTCTTTTTATTCTTATTATCTCAACCCACCTCAAGGGCCAACTCCTCGATCTCAAACTGTCTCTGGGCGGCGCGGCTGGACCCGGGGTGGTCATGGTAGTACACCACCATGACATCGTACTTCTTCATGACAGACTTATAGTTCTTGGCGTTGAGGTCATGGACGCGGTCCTTGCCATCATACTCTGGGAAGTCCAAGCTGTCCTTGCCCTGAGATAGGGCCCCAAAGGACAGCAAGACTGCCACAAGCACCCAGGTCCACTTCATGGCTCCTCTCTAAGATACTGTAGATGTATTCACAGTTTCAGAAAGTAAACAAAGGGGAGAAGTAACAAAATAGTTTGGTGAATGTACAGAGAACCCCTTCCAACCCACGTCACCCAGAAGAGAGCAAGACCAACTCCTGCATCCACCTTATTAAAAACCCCACACGGGCAACTGGCAGTGGGGCACTGGGTGCCAGAGGGGTTGGGCTAAGTTTGACATAGGTGTGAGTGTGTGTCTATGTGGGGTGTAATTGAGCATGGGAAGATGAGGCGGGGGGGCTGAGGCGGTTGCTGGGGTGACAGCATTGTGTGCTGATGTGTGTGCCTGCTTAAGTGTGTGTTACAGACCTGTCAAAGTGGGTGGAGTGAGGCAATGAGGACCAACCTGCGCTCTTTCTCTCTCTATCCAGACAGAAAACAGGAAAAGACAGTGATGGGTGTGGGGGGAGATGATGTGCAAGGAACAGAGATATAAAGAGAGGTGTGTGTGTCAGTCAGGGGGTCTGATAACAGTTGCTTGAAAGCTTGATTACCTCACACCAAATGAAGAAAGAGTGATATGATGGATTTAGAGGTGGCTGCAAATATGAGGCACTCTTTTCCCATATTAAGTGTAGATGGAGGCTTGGATCCCAGCTAAAAATAATAGATGTAGGACAGAGAAGTGCATATCAGGAGGGGGTGCTGGTGTCTAGTTTTCTTCTCCTGGCACCATCACACTGCTAGAATGTGGAGTGGGTCACTCAGGGACATGGAGAAGAGAGGAGAGAGAGAGAAGAGGAGAGGGTGGTGCACCTGCTGAGGATTCAGTGCATAGGTGTCACTTAGCCCTGACTCAAGAAGAAAGTGAAACATTGAGTTGTATGGGGCTGGGGGAGCATGTGGTCATCTTTTTAATCTTTCTGAATCTGAGCCAGACACATACAGTACACGTCCTGTGCAATGTGTGAATGTATGCTCAAGATGATTGCTTGTGATATTACTTTACAAATTGAAAGGGAGGAGGTGAGCTATAAATAAATACAGGCTACATGGTATCTTAATGCTCTTTCTGACCTCAAGACGCACACGTATGCGACACACCCCTTTTTTATGTAGCAAGACATGCAAGCCTAGTATTAAAGCGGAAAGAAGGGAAGGGAAAGATGTACTAACTGGTGGTAGAAGCATGTAGGCTATGTGTGGGGTCGACATAGGTGTAGTGCTGCCAGAATGCACCAGAATGACGATCCGCCACTTTTTTTTTCTCCAAGAAAGGAGAAAGAATGTGGAGAACAACTACTTTCTTAAAGCATTATGAGGCATTTGATGACTGGTCAAATAATTCTTTTTCATATTTTGGGTGGGACATGTCCCCAGTCCCAGATGGCTATAACATTTACCCTGTGACAAATGGCTACTAATTGACATTGTTATTCTGCCACACCAGAGAATAACGTCAGTCTAACATTTTGTGGTGTGGGCAACTATAGTTTCCACCATAGGAAACGTGTTTACATGGCCCTCAAAACAAGCCACAACTTAACAGTACGAGTGCACTTGCCTGCATCAGGTGTGCTCTGGTTCTTCATCAAATAGCACTACAACTATGGGTGTCAGTGACTAATTAATGAAGGAATTGCGTCTCATTTCCAACTCTGTTACAAAATGGCTTCAGCAGCTGCAGATCATCACAGTTTAAACTGAGAAATGTAAAAAGAAATCAGTCCTGCCTGTAATGTTGTGGGAATGCCCCTTAGATTGGGCAAATAAACAGCTGAGTCAACTTAGTATCTTTAGTTTACCGAATGGTTTTTTTTCTCAAGTTCAATTAAATGAGTTAATTTTACATTTTCAGAATTCATAAAACACTGAACTAACTGTTCAGCCAAGCTGAGTTAATTCAAGTTTTCAAGACAGCAGGAAAACATGTTTCTAAGTTGAACAAGATTTACAGTATATTGTCATTTATTACTAAATGAAGAAATCGAAGTAGAAAATTTCTATGGAGGCCTGTTATGGAAGAGGTAATGTGACATAATGTGACTACATGAGGTGTAAATGAAAGCGTTAAAACACCCCCGTCGCACCTTCATGTTTGATCTCATAAACCTATGTTTGCCAAGGTTTTTCCTGTTTCATGTTTTTATTTTGTGTTTCCTCACATGCTGTAATCTCTTTACTTTTTGCCCCACCTGCCCTTTGTTCTGTTTTCCCACTCCTCCAGGCACCTGCCCTGTATTAACTCATCACGCTACCTCTTACTTTATTTGTGTCCACTCTTAGCCCAACGTTAGACTCTCCAGCCTCATGCTGTGCTTGTTGTTGCTTGCCCTGCTTAGCGTTTTGCTTTCTTTTGAACCTCACTATGCTATGTGCGTTTTGATGCTCCTGTTAGTAGTCTGCTTTAACGCACTGCTTTGGCTTGACATTTTTACCAGTGTTTCTCTGCTAGGGCTAAGTTTGCTCACAGAAGCTTTGACTGAAACTTTGCTTGTTAAAGACAACTCTTGTAAACTCACCAGCTGTTTGGATCATCATCTCAACCCTGAATGCTCCTACTGTGAAACTGTTAATCTCTTTTTGTTCTGTTCTGTGCAGAGCACAGATCAGAATGAATCTTAGGCCATGACATTATTAGATGTGTGTGAAGCTTAGTTAAATTTTAACTGTACAGGGGTAGGCAGCTTATGTATTACAGACAAAAAACTTTCAAACAATGCATGTTGGGAAGTCTGCTAGTTCTGTTTACAGGTTATTCATTTAACTCAAAAGCTTAGTTGGTTACACAAATTCCTTGTATAATATATTACAGTGTGCATTTCAGTCAGTTTGTGCCTGTGTGGCTTAACCAAATGAAGCAGTGCATGAAAGATGTTATATAGACCTTAATTTCCATTTTCTGACTTTAGTTTCAGGGGCCCTAGTGTTGTGCATGCTGTCTCACTCTTGTTGTCATGCATTATAAAGCAGATTCTGATTACTGGGACACCTCAACTGAACAGAATGAACAGAGCCATTAGTAATGTTATTAGTAATATATATATCAAAAATTTAAATGGTTGGGTGTAAAATTGGTTTGTCCATAGACGATAACTTTAACGTGTGTCTGAAGCAATTACCCCTACTGGCCACTAGATGGCGCTGCTGGACTTTGAACGTGTAGCCTGTTAAAATAACCTTATAGTTTTTTAGGCTTGTCGTTAGTAATAGGCCTACACTCATGGTGCTGTATTGGACTGATCTATGTGCTTCATTCTCACAGTTTAAACGTATTTGTGCTGAATAGCGCCTCTGATAATGTCTAAACAGTTTAGTCAGTGGTCAGTCTGGTCAAAGTGTGACCAGGGCTTCTATGCTCTTTGACCAGGGGGCGGTTGTTTTTTTGCTTCCTGATGGGTGATGATAAGGAGCTATCGCTTTCATGACATGTTGTGGCAACGCCCCTTAGATTGGGTAACATTAAGGAAGAGTGCAATAGAAATAATTCACCTACAGCAGGCGCAAAGGGGTGACAATCGTCGACTGTCAATCGACCAGGGTTTCACTCTTCGCTCGTACATATAGCTACATTAAACAGCGTTTAAGGTAAGGCTTATCTAATACCTGATTAGTTCGCAGTCTGCCGCTATCTTATCTCCGTTACTGCTCCTAGCCTAGGCCATTGTTGTAGGCTAGTTAATAAAATATTTCAGGAAAAACAATGTCGCCTTCAAATGGTACGGACTGTAGTTACTGCAGTTTATCACCTACTTCCTGTATTAATCTTTATTCAACACAGCCAGAAACATAACACAGGAAAAGAAGTAGAGTGCAGATAATATCAAACTGATAAAGATCAAATAAGGATTCATTAAATTAAAGAGTTTTTAAAATGTCTAAAATCCACTAAAAAGCAATTAATGTATTTAATCAAGCAGTTTATTCATTAATAATCCTCTTAATAGGCCTTTAAAAATAATAACGTCATTCATTCATTATTAATGGACAAATTAATTAAATTAAAAGGAAAAAATTAAGGCATTCATTTTCATCCACTTTATTTTCCATTATTGATTATTATTTTTCATTGGTCATTGTTTTGATTAATAAATTAATTGTACCGTCTCTAATGTCATAGAATAGTGAAGTGAAAAATTTCCTAGAGCTCAAGGTGACATTTGAAAATGTCTTGTTCAGCCTGAAGCCCTTAAATGTACAGTGAAATAGAAATTAGCAGCAAATTCACCAAACCACATGATGTTTGGCATATCTGAATTAAACAAAGAATCAAGTATCAGATTGTTGCAGATGAATTTTCAGATAATTCAGCCAGTATTTTTATCAAAAAATGAGTGCAATTCAATAATTCTTTGATAGTTTTTTCAGATGGCTGCAGCTCTGGTCGACAGAGCAGTCGGGGCCATTGTAGGAGCAGCTGTTGCAGATGCAGCAGGTAATACTAATAAAAGTACATAATACCTTAGGCAGACAGTAAGGCCTAAGGTAATAATGAGTTTGCCTGTTCTACCTCCTGTTTAAAATAAAGCCATAATAAGTATAACTTATTACCTTTTCTGCACAGCTTTATTTTTGTGCCATCTAAGTCTTCACTCTCAAAGATTAAGTGGATTTTGCATGTAGTAGCACTTTTACTACAAATCACAAACACTTGTAATCAGGGCTAGCCATTTAACTTCTGATCCTGATCAGAATTAAATTGTCTGTTTGACTTGTCTCTTGCAGCACAGCCTCTCCACTGGGTGTATGACCTCCCGAAGCTACAGAAGATTCTGGCTCAGGATCCAAACCCTGAATTCCGCTCTGAATCTGCCAACCCGTTCTACAGGAGGCAGACAGGCGAGCAGAGCTGCTATGGAGACCAGGCGTATGTCCTGCTGGAGTCCCTGTCTGTATGTGGAGGTAAAAGCAGCTCACTATTTTATTTTTTTAATATCTCTGAGGGTTTTTTAATCTATATTTTATTCTAATATAATTGATTCTGTTCTCACACCGAAGAAGCCCCCACTAGCTGCTATTTTGTGCTGATGTTAAGTATCTTTAAATTTAACTATATTCGCTGTAGAAAATTGCTCTAAGACCCATTTTTGGAACATAATGGAATGAAACAAAGGACAGTTTATTACTTCCAATTAAAAAAGAGTGCACAATTGAGAAATTAAAATAAATACATTTTGTAAAAAGTGCATAATTTGAAGCATTCAGCTATTGTCACTGGCTGATTCTGGTTTTATCGTGGGAATATAAGCACATTATATACTGTATTACTGGCCACACTTTTCAGTCATATGATTCATAAAAAGATGGGTGACAAATGAAAGGAAAACCCAACACAAATCGTCTCAGTAAGGTGTTGGACCATCACATGATACCAGAACAGCTAAAGTGCTCCTTGGTATCAACTCTCCAAGTCTCTGTACTCTAGTGGAGGATGAACACTGTTCTTCCAAAAGATATTGCCTCATGTGGTTTTTGATAATCGTGTTGGAGAAGCTGTCTGACATGTCGGTCGAAAACCCTAAGTAGGTGGAATCTGGTGACTGTGAAGGCCACAGCATATAATTCACATCATTTTCAGACTAATCAAACCATTCAGTGACCCCTCGTGCCCCATAGATGGGGGCATTGTCATCCTGAAGGAGACCACTCGTTTATTCAGATTTTTTTTTTTTATTATTCATCACCCGTCTGTATATAAAGCTCTCTGTAGGTTATAAGACATAGTTATGATCATGTGACTTCAGTTTGAGTTTAATCTTTACCTTCTGAGTTGTTTGACATATCTGAACAGGTCTAGATGTTGAAGATCTGAAACAACGCACACTGAAATTCTTTGGACCCGGATCAGAGTATGACACACCTGTCAATGATCCTTACAGGCAGAGAGGAGGTAAGACATCTATCTAGTAATGCTTTGATGAAGAATGAAATCACTTTTATTACCTTATTAAGGTGGGATTACTGGTGGGTGTTGTGCTTCTGTATATAACAGGGCCAAGACCTCAGCTTCCCATCGAGGGGCCATGGAGACAGGCAAGTTTAAAGAGCTTCCTGAAAAATGTGGATGCTGGCAAAGAGGAGACAGGTGAAGCTCCTGTACAGATTCACTATAGATAACTGACATTATGAAGAGAAACATTTCAAACCAATGTGTTGTATTTGCTGCAGGCTGTGAGAGCGACTGCCAGATTGATGGAATAGCTAAACTGGCTCCTATAGTGGCGTTTTACGCGGGAAATACTGACATGCTGGAAAAAGTGGAACAGGCCATCCGTGTCACACAGAACAATGACGCGTGTGTGGCAGAGACTCTGGCAGCAGCAAGGTCAGATTATTTATCAAATACAATAATTCACTTGAACTTTCCTATTTTCACAAAGCTGATCACTGGTGTAGACACAGTTCAATTGTAAATCTGAAGTAAGAAATGACAATACTTTAGAATTCTGTTAAGACACATGAAGTGGACAGGAAATGTGACATCGACACTTCTAAACAGAGCGATGACAACAAATATTGTGTAATCCTGATTAACCTTATGGCAGCAGATTAAATACAGACCCCCTACAAGAACTACAAAATTATGACTATAATAAAGACAGATACTCTTGAAGAAGCCTACAGTATACATATGGTTGCAGTTTCCTGACATTTCATCATTAATGATGGTTTATCACATCTAATCCCCAAATTAAAGTCTTTAAACGTAGTGAGTGTTTGTGTTTATTGTAATGCAATCAAATGGTTAACTTAAAGTTTGAAAAGTAAAGTTTAATGTACACTTCCTACTTTTCTATGTATTGCTACACATCTCTGAGGTAACACTAGCTGCTTCATGGGATACAGTATTTCTTATTTGGCTAAATAAATCTGATAGGTATCTGTTGAAGTAGTTATTACAGCCTGCAGGTTGTAATTTTAAACTATCAAATAAAATGCCCAACTTTAAATTTGCATCTTGGGATGGAAGATAGCAGAAATCCTCAAATACAAGTGTCTCAAGTGGCAGATCCAGATATGATAGGTAAAAAGTTTTTTTTTAAAGATACTATGTATTGCACATTGACTTATTTCCCAGGTTCCTGGAGCATTTCATCCTGAATGGTCCTGATCCCAAAGCCTTAGATGCAGTGCTTGATCAGCTCAGTGACAGGAACAGGAAGCAGCCCCAGGACCTGGACAAATCAGTCACTGGTGTGTGAGGCTTGTTGTTTCACTTCATTACAGTCATGGAACTGAATCACTGGGTTCCTCATTTTGTAAATGGTTATATTGTGTGTAATTTAAGCATAATTTAACATGGTCCTCAATCTGAAGTCAAAGGAACATGCAAATAAGTATGTTTAACATAGATTCACTTTTTCTGCCTGTTTTCAGGGCACATCCAACAGGTGAAGGAGAATTTATCCAAGACTCCTCAGGAGATAATTCCCAGTGTGTTTACTAACACTTGAGGTATCCTTACAAGCCTTATTTCAATCTCCTTTATTATTAGGTAATACCTTTTATAAGCAAAAATCAGTCATCAGGTTCTATGTGTAACTCAGGTTGCTGTCTTTTACAAGATAAATATTGAGACAACCAGTTGAAATGCCTTCATGTAACTTAAATCTGGTTGTGATGTTTTTCAGGTTTGCCAGGTGCATTCCAAGCAGCGCTGCATGGAGCCCTGACAGCCACACAGTATGAACAGGCTATTAGAGACACCATGAGCTGTGGGGGATGCACCTGCAGCCGAGGATCCTTCATTGGGGCATGTCTTGGGGCCCAGGTAAGACTGTGTGCTGATATTCAATATTGTACTAGTACTGAATGTAGTATGATGATTTATAAAATGTGACATTTTAATTCTCCTAGTTTGGGCTTGAGGGAATTCCTTCCTCCTGGACATCCAAAACCCTGCGATATGGCTCTGTGTTGGAACATGCCAAGACGATAACCAAACACCACCAGTAGATTCCATGCAGTGATGTGTTTTAGGTGCATAAGAGCATCATGAAAAACTGTAGAGCTTGCACAGAACAGTGGATGAAGGTTCTTGTCTAAACTGCTGGATGGCAGGAGCCAGATGTTTTTGTCTGTGTTGAAGTTAAACATGTTGGTTCAGGTGTTCTTAGAGTACTAATTCTAGCAGTATGTTAGAGAAGAGAAGCTTCTGTCCAGTTCTTGTGGCTGACAGTATTCAACTTATGTCAGCCAGTGATAGTAAAGAGAGATTTTACCTTTTTTGTTTTGTGGAAAAAATATATACAGTGCCTTGCAAAAGTATCCATACCGCTTGAGCTTTTCCACATTTTTTCACGTTACAAGCACAAACTTAAATGTATTTTATTGGGATTTTATGTGATAGACCAACACAAAGTATCACATAATTGTGAAGTGGAAGGAAAATGATATGTTATGTTCAGGATTTGTTACAAATAAAAAAAAAATCTGAAGAGTGTGGCGTGCATATGTATTCAGCCCGCTTTACTTCCATATCCCTAAATAAAATCCAGTGCAACCAACAGCCTTCAGAAGTCTCCTAATTAGTAAATAGAGTCCTCCTGTGTGTAATTCAATCTCAGTATAAATACAGCTGTTCTGTGAAGGCCTCAGAGGTTTGTTAGAGAACATTAGTGAACAAACA